TTGAAATTGAATCCTAACAAATGTGACTAATGATTAGTGATCAGAAAACTTTTTATTTAAAGGGCCAGATATTAAATATTATGAACTTTGTAGACTATTTGGTCTGCATTGCAACAGTCTGCCATTTTAGTGTCAAAGCAGTTATAGACAATAACAGATGAATGGACATGATTGTGTTCTAGTAAAAGTTTAATTATAAAAAACAGTCTTCAGCCCAGATTTCTCCTGTGGAACTTAGTTTCTTGACCCGACTAAGAAAGTCAGGGGTAGAAGAGTTTAAAATTATGTAGTCACAAGTGTTTGTCCTCATTTCCCCAGAAAATCACAGGGAATAAAGATATTTGACCTTATTTTCTATGGTAAGCAGAATAATGCTCCCCATCCCCCAAAGATGACCATGCCTGATCCCCAGAACCTGTGCATGTATTACTTTACATGGCAAAAGGAGCTGTGGTTAAGTTAAGGGTCTTGAAATGCAAAAATTATCCTGTAGTATCTGGGTGGGCTTGAAGTAATCATAAGAGTCCTTACAAGAGGGAGGCAGAGGGTCAGAGAGCTGTTATGGTTGGTTCAAAACCAAAGCTGAAGACAGAGGAAAGAGACCTGAGCCAGGGAATGAGGGCAGCCTTTAGATGCTGGAAAAATGCAAGGAAACAGATTCACACCTAGGACCCCTACAAGTAACACAGTGCTACTTCACCCATTTTAGACCACTGACTTCCACAGCTCTAGGACAATAAACGTGGGCTGCATTGAGCCACTAAGTGTGTGGTAATTTGCTGGAACAGCAATAGGAAACTAGTATATTTGCCATGTTTTGTGTGTGTGTGTGTGTGTGTTTAATCATGGGATGCTGACTGCACAATAATAGCTTTAAAGTAAAAGAAACCATGGTCTAAAGATACTTGGAAAAAGTCTTCCTACTAGAAAAGGGATAAAGTTCTGAGTGAATGAAGAAAAGGGTTCATCATTGCTGGCTTCATCCCATCTTGGTTCTGAGAGACTCAGCTGATCATTAAGTTTTTGGTACTTTTCTCATATTCTGAGTTACTCTTCATTAAAAACGAAACAAAACAAACAAAGAAAATTCTAGGCATAGGAATACACAGCAACAAGCTGATATGTTTATGTCATTTTTGATTTATCATATCCTAAAGTTCTGCTAAGTTACATAGTTGCAATTTATAGCTTCATATATGGGATATTTAGAAACCAAAAACACCCACAAGTGTTGTATAATTCTCCACCATAAATCTATTAAACGTATATTGGATTGCAGTTATAGAGGATTCATGGAAAAGAAGAGATCTTTTGAATCAGAAGACTGGGCTTTGTATTCTAAAAAATGTAGCCATTTTTTCCAGGGGCCTCTAATCCTTCCAATATCTTGTGGGAAACCAAATGATAGTTCTTACTGAAGGCAGGAAAAGGAAAAGGATGGCTGGAATGAGGGAGCCTCTGGATGTCCTCTCAAAATTGCTCACATTGTATCAGTCTCTTTAAATTCTTTGAAGTTTACATGGTCAGCCTGGCTGTATTTTATTTTTTGCATTTAGTGTTATCGTTTTATTATCTTGTCCTTTGTGACTATGTGTGGTGACTGTGAAGGTAAAGACCTTGGCCTCTAGCCAGTGCCTTTAGAACCCCTACCATTGTTCATCCGAGGGGGCCTCATAGGGAAGCCTGGCTGGTGACCAGGTAGTTAGGTGAGCTTGCTTGGGTGTTGGAGAAACATAGTTACTCTCCCCAGAGCTTTAAAGTACAATTATTCACTCTTTCTGGTCTCTCTAAAACCTAGATTATTAACCTTAAGACCATAGAAATATAATCATGGAGTGAATAAAGTTTAAATATTTGAATATCAGAATGTCTGTAAAGTCTTAGTGTAAAGGCATGGAAAAAATATTTAAAAGTCTCCCCCAAAGAGGGCAAAAATCAGGTTCCTTACAGCTCCACACATCAGCTTTTCCGTTCTGTCTCCATTGTAAAGTTGAAGGACTTTTGAGGAATCTTTTTTAGGAATGTAAGTGTCTTCTGGAGGAGTATTTCTGTGGCATTGGTTCTTGGTGGCTGGAAATTTTCACATTCTGCATCATTTAGACATAGGCATAGGCTCAGAATGTGTGATAGAATAAAGTAATAAACTGTGTATCTTACTTATCTTTGGGAACTCTGAAAACTGTTCTTAAAAATTGTCCATTTTCCCTTGGACTCCTATAATACCTTTCTGTGGCCTAGAAGTATTTTTTGTTAAGGCCAAGTCACTATGTATGGAGGTGTCTCTATGTGACATTACAGGGCAGGTTTATGAGATCTCGGCACGTGAACTAGTCACATTTTGCTTGTATGTGGTGGAGCATTTGGGTTAAACTGCCTTCTGGAAAAGGACCACCCAATTGTCACAGCTGATCTAACAAAATTCTTCTAATTCCAAGAGGAAAATTCATAAAACTTTAACGAATGAGAGTTATTTGCGTTGCTTGAGAATGTGTCAGCTACAAAACCTTTGCCTAATCTGACTCTTAGAGAATCAGTCTGATTCCATTAGTAATTTGATAAAATGTTGGAGCCAGTTGGTTCCAGACCAGGTGTCAACATGCCCTCAACCCACCAGTTCAATGCCACTTTGTGTGGTGTCTCTCTGCTCTGTAAAACAGAAGTTAAG